AAAAAAAAAAAAAAAAGAAAACCTGTGTATAACTTTTGACTCCCCCCAAACTGAACTAACAGCCTAACGTTGACTGGAAACCTTACCAATAACATAAGCAGTCAATTGGCACATATTTTTTATGTTATATGTATTATATACTATATTCTTACAATAAAATAAGCTAAAGAAAAGAAAACATTATTAAGAAAGTCGTAAAGGGGGTGTCTAGGTGGCTCAGTTGGTTGAGTGTTGGGCTCTTGATTTCGGCTTGAGTTGTAGTCTCCCGGTTCATGGGGTCAAGCCCTGAGTGGCGCTCTGGGCTAGGCACAGAGCCTGTGTGGGGTTCTGTCTCCCTTTCTCCCTGTCCCTCCACCACCCCTCAAAATAAATAAATAAGAGTAAAAAAAAAAAAATGGAAACTAATGTAAATTGTGTGTCAACTATACTTCAACAACAAAAAGAAAATCATAAGGAAAATACATTTACTGTACTGTTCACGTATTTACTGAAAAAAATCCACATATGGTGGGTCTGCTCAGTTGAAATCCCGTGCGGTTGAAAACAGTGTTGTTCAAGGCTCAGCTGGACAGTTTTAACATTTCTTTCTCCATCTCTTTCCTTTCTTTCTGCCTTTACTTTCCCTTTCTCTCCATCCTTTTTCCATTCCTTGTCCGTATCATTTCAGGAAAGTTGACTCCATCCAATGATTTCAATCCTGCTGAAATCCTTCCTCCCAACCTGAAAGCCCTGTATCCTCATTGGTCCCATGTGGTCACATTAAGTTAGGGGTGACAAGAGCTCAGGCTGGGGCCCTTCTGCTTCCCCAGCTAAGTAAGAAAGACACATACTCCCCATAGCCAGGAGTGACTGTACAGACACTGTCTGGGCTTCCACACTGTATTCCTTTAACAAGACTTTTCTGGGTCCATTTGCTTTCCAGCCCAATGACTTCCTCCTTATTGTATTGGTCTCTTTTTCACATACCAAGCCTAGATTAGGCAACTCCTAGAGGGCAGGAAAATCCTTTGGTGACTCTCAGTTGACCTCTTCTGACCATGGAACACCATCAACCTGGGCATCCAGCCTCTGATAAGGCCAGGATTATAGAAGCAGTCAGCCCTGAAAACCGTGAGGTCCTGTCACAACCAGATGTGCACCCCCAGGACAAGGATGCCGGAGATGCTGATGGGGCAGCTAGAGAACAGGAGATGGTAGACCAAACTTCGCCGCTGGCCCAGGGCCAGGATAACCTTGAGTCACCTGCACCTAATGCTAGTTCAATCCAACTGGGGCCAGCCCACGGGACACAGCCTGAGGCAGAGACAGGAGGGGCGTGCTCCAGACCCCAGGAGCTTCCCCAGTCCCCCAGGGCCCGACAGCCGGAGGTAGATTTCTACTGTGTAAAGTGGATCTCCTGGAAGGGAGAACGGACACCCATCATCACCCAGAGCACTAACGGCCCTTGCCCTCTCCTGGCCATCATGAACATCCTCTTTCTTCAGTGGAAGGTAAGAGAGGGTCCGGATGGGGGCTTAGACATTGCTGGGGAGAGTACTCTTCCCTGATCCATCTCCTCGATCATCCCGATCTCCTCAAACCTGGCAACACGTTCCAGATTATTCTCCATAGTTTTCCAGCTTGAACAAATGAGAAGATATTCACAAAAACAAGACAAAACGAAGCAAGTTTCTGCCTTGCTCTTGTATTTTCTATTGTCTAGCAAATGGGAATGTCTTCACATGCATTCCCTCACTCCAGTTACAAGCCTTTTTTCCCACGACTCCCTCCCCTTCCCCCAGTCCTTCTATGTATTTCTGCTTCAGTGCTCTGTGAAGGAAAATACACACATGGCTAACCCTTTGGTCGCCCCTTCTGCCTCCAGGTGAAGCTGTCCCCTCAGAAGGAAGTGATCACATCAGATGAGCTCATGGCCCATCTTGGTGAGTGCCTAGGCCTTGGGGAGGTTCAAGAGCTATCCACTCAGAAATCCAGAATAGTAAGGGACTGCCCATTTGGGGCTCAGAGTAGCAGGGAAGGTGAAGGTGTACAGGGCGTCTCTGCAGGGCTGGGGAATGAAAAGCAAAAATCAAGGTGTCAGGAGCCTGGGATCATAACCCTACTTTGCCCTGAGCAACCTGGGATTGTAACCCTACTTTGCCCTGAACTTTCACACGTGACCTTGGGTGAGCTCTTCATCTTTGTGAGTCTCTCTTTTCCTTGAGAAGTGAGAGGTCTGGATTAGATTCTAAGGCTGTTTCCAGCTCTGAAAATCTGTGGTCCATGACCATTCTCTAGGAGAAGAGGAAGTAGGTTTTGGGGAAATTGGGGTAAGCTGAAAAGGGACCCTGTCTTATAGGAGACTGCCTCTTGTCCATCAAGCCCCAGGAGAAGTCAGAGGGACTTCAGCTGAATTTTCAGCAGGTGAGGCAAAGGTCTGCAGACGTGGGGATTTGCAGGTTCGTGAGGGGACACTGAGGCTAGGAAGAGAGGCCTTTCTTCTGCTTCTCAAGAAGGGCCCTTAAACTATGATTTCTGTCTGTGTTTCTTTTTTATTTCTTTCTGGAGGAGGAGGGTATATCTTTGTCCTAGAAAATATGTTCCTTTATACAAGATAAAGACTGGTTGAGGCAAAAGAGGAATGGAGTAGCCTGGAAGCGAACCAGGGAGGAAAAGCAACAATTTTATTATTTTTATTTCTGGAGCTAGGTGTCGGGAGAGGGGAGGCTAGACTAGCCATTATTGTCTTCTTGTTTTCTGCCAGCTTTATTGAGATATAACTGACTTATAACATTGCGTAAGGTGAAGATTATATCTACCATGTTGATGTGACATAGTCATCATTTTCTTTCCTAACCCCAGAATGTGGACGATGCAATGACAGTGTTGCCTAAACTGGCCACAGGTCTGGACGTCAATGTGCGATTCACAGGGGTCTCTGATTTTGAGTATACTCCTGAGTGCAGTGTCTTTGACCTCCTAGGCATACCTCTGTACCACGGCTGGCTGGTCGATCCACAGGTGAGGGTGAGATGGCCCAAATGAGGCTCCTATCCAGCTCAAGCTGACAGAGGAACAGCATTTTGTGGGGTGGGTGTTGGGGAGTTAGGAATTAGATTGGCTTGAGAAGAGAATAGGCTTTAGAGGCTGGACCCAGTGCAGAATTCCTTGAATTTTAACCTTTCTGGGGAGAGGGGTAACACTCAAATACGGGCAGACCACACGCACGGAGGTCCGTTCTTTGGGTACAGAAAATGTCAAGACTCTTTGGTTACAGGGTTGTGATCCTTTCGGGCTTGCTTCATTTCCTTCCTCAAAAGATCTTAATTGTCTTGGTACCACCCCACCCCACTGCCCACGCAGAGTCCTGAGGCTGTGAACGCAGTTGGGAAGCTGAGTTACAACCAGCTGGTAGAGAAGATTATCACCTGCAAACACTCTAGCGACACCAACCTTGTGACAGAAGGTAACAGCCCTGCCTTCTCTCCTGCGGATCTTAGTGGAGGGAAGGACTCTTAGTGGAGGGAAGGACGGCTGCTTCAGTTTATTGTTTATTGTCTGCCTCCCCCACCAAGTCCCCCTAGAATAAACACCCCACGAGAGAGAATCTGGGGAACTGTCAGTTGCATACAGTACCCAGCATGCTGCCTGGCACAAAGTACAGGCACAAGGAACTACCCGTTGGGTGAATGAATACTGCCAGGCCCCAAGGGATTTCAGAAGGTGGGACCATCCCTAGGGCTTTATTTTTTTTTTAATTAAAAACAATTGTTTTAATGTTTGTTTATTTTTGACAGACACAGAGCAGGAGTGGGGAAGGGGCAGAGACAGAGAGGGAGACACAGAATCCGAAGCAGGCTCCAGGCTCTGAGCTGTCAGCACAGAGCCCAATGCGGGCTTGAACTCACAAACCATGAGATCATGACCTGAGCCAAAGTCGGTCGCTCAACCAACTGAGCCACCCAGGTGCCCCTCATCCCTAGGGCTTTTGACAGGGATTCTATGAATGATCCTTCCTCCTGTTGTGGATTTTGGATTTAAGCCAAGCCTCTTGCCCCACAATTTTGTGCCCTTCCTTCCGGCAGGCCTGATCGCAGAGCAGTTCCTGGAGACCACTGCAGCACAGCTGACCTACCATGGACTGTGTGAGCTCACAGCCGCTGCCAAGGAGGGTGAACTTAGCGTCTTTTTCCGAAACAACCACTTTAGCACCATGACAAAGCACAAGGTAAGGAGGCTTTGGGGCTGGGGGCTGGGGGGTGGCGTCCTGTCACTGCCCCGTGGCTTTTTCTTCCTGGTCAGTGTTTCAGACAGGAGAGGGTAGATTGAGTTCAGGTAACAAACAAGCCCTGAAATCCCTGTGGTTTCCTACAACAAAGGTTTATTTCTCATGCGTGCCACATGGCCATTGCAGATTGGCTGCAGTTCTGGCCTATGTCCTCTGTGCTCTTGGACCCAGGCTGACAAAACAGCTTTAATCTGGAATATGAGAGGGAAAAGAGAGAGAGGGACACCACGCACTCACTTTTAATGCCTCTGCCTCGAGATGACGCGTGTCATTTCTGCTAACATCTCACTGGCCAGAGCAAGCCAGAAGGAATAAGCCTGTCGTCAGTGGGACAGGAAATCGCTCCCAGGAAGGGAATGGAATTAAACGGAAGAGGGAAAGGTCTTTGGCTCTCAAAGGATTTATCCTCAGAGCCATCAGGCGAGCCCAGAGAACCATGGGAAGCAGGGTAGGAAGCAGCATCTTGTGTGGGACCCGTAGCCCTGAGGACTCAGGCTGGACCACAGCGATCGCCATACTTACCCCAGCTGACCATATGCTCAGACATCCCTTCCTTCTCCCCACGGCCACACGTATTTGTCAAAGACACACATGCCCGCGCTGACAGGTGGCAGCCAGCACACCAGATGACTCAAATGGTCCCTGCATCCCAGGTGATTTCTGGCCATCACATTGCCTCTGTGTCACCTATCCCACCAACGAGCTTTGTCCTCTTCTTTGCAGAGTCACTTGTACCTGCTGGTCACCGACCAGGGCTTCCTGCAGGAGGAGCAGGTGGTATGGGAGAGCCTGCACAATGTGGATGGGGACAGCTGCTTCTGCAACTCGGACTTCCACCTGAGTCACTCCCTTGGCAAGGGACCTGGAGCAGGAGGTGGGAACGGCTCCCCCGAACAGCAGCGGCTCGTAGACCAGGTGTGTGGGGCCTCCAGGAGGGTGCAGGGAGCACGGCTGCCTCGGAGCTCTTTGCTGCAGGCAGGGCATGCGTTTGGTCATCTAGAGATCATGACACATGACAGCTGTGCCCCTTTACTGTTAACTTCGGACTGCCTCCATGCCTGGAGTATCACCACACACAATGTGCTTGTCTCTGTGTTCTGCTCTGGAGGAGGAGCTGGAGAATTTGAAGGAGAAGAAAAACGGGTCTTGGGGGGCTGGGGGGGCTCAGTCGGTTAAGCGTCTGACTTCAGCTCAGGTCAAGATCTCATGGTTCGTGGGTTCAAGCTCTGCATCAGGCTCTGTGCTGACTGACAGCTCAGAGCCTGGAGACTGCTTGGGATTCTGTGTCTCCCTCTCTCTCTGCCCCTCCCCTGCTCGTGCTCTGTCTCTGTCTCTCAAAAATAAACATTTTTAAAAAAAGAAAGAAAAATGGGTTTGGAAACATAAAGCTGGCCTGAATGTCCCCCAGGCCCCAGCCCACCTCACTGCTCTTGTTCTGTCTCGACTCTCTCTAGGACTACCTAATCGCCTTGTCCCTGCAGCAGCAACCACAAGGCACGTTGGGTCTTAGTGACTTGGAACTGGCCCAGCAGCTTCAGCAAGAGGAGTACCAGCAGCAGCCAGCAGTCCAGCCTGCACCAGGGCGGGCCTCCCCACAGGTGAGCGGTCACTGCCTAGGGGCCTTCCCACTGGCCCAGAGCTGTGCCCTGCTCCTCGGCATCCGGACACTTGTCATTGCTAGTCCTGCAATGGTCTCTTCAAGGTGTCTCTCTCCCCTGGGTCCCATCTTATCTTTCTCTCCCCACTGCCAAAGCAGGCTCCAGGCTCTGAGCTGTCAGCACAGAGCCTGACGCAGGGCTCAAACCCGCGAAACGTGAGAGTGTGAGACCTGAGCCAAAGTCGGATGCCTAACTGACTGAGCCCCCACTTCCATCTAGAGCCTTTGTCCTTGTGCTCTTCTGAGCTGGTGGGTG